TGCAAGTTTTTTTTTTTTTTTTTTTTTTCTATTTCCCTAAATCAATAGAATTTTTTTTTTTGCTTTGATTTTTGGATTAGATTATAGTCCAATCTATTTTGACTGTGTAAAAATCTTGGTACTTTGCTTTATGTAGGACAATTTGTTTATTGAGCAAAGTTATATATTAAAATGAAGGTCTGATTTGGCTTTGTCAAATCCATCACATGAGAATAAAACTAAACAAATTCCAAGTTTAAAATACTAGATTACAGAAGAAAGTTTGATTTATATCTTGACATCTTGATTGTGAGTTCTTACGTAAATTTTGTTCTTATTTGCAGGGTGGTTTTCCTGCAGATCAATCTGTTGAACAACTGGAACGTCACTGAGGCTGTTATCCTTGGCACTTCGTTGTCATGCACATCTTGATTAATTGACATACATCTACGATTGTTGGAGGAAAATTTGTCTTTGCTATTGGTGCCACCACATTAATATTTTCCCTGTATTGTAGGAAAATTTGTCTTTCCTTCACGTGTTTTAAGGATTTATTCTTAAATTTTTCTTGCTATTGTGTTTTTTTATATGATAATTGCTAGTTAATGAGATGGTGGAGGTTTTTTGTGGTTATTTGATGTGGCAGACAATCAGTTATATGGGCATCAAACAAATTCCACCACTATGATGCATCGGATTGCACCAGTTAAACGCAATCTGATGCAGCATTGTTCTAATGCATCATATTGCATTTAAATAAATATACCACGACTGCATTATTCCCAATGATTAAACAAAATGCATAACATCTCGACAAGCAAATCGCGCCAAAAAAATTCCATTCATACCACAAAAAAAGAAAAAAAGCACAGTAGAGTAATCTAAGTAGCACATTACAATCCCAACTGGTTTGTTGCAAAATATGGCATAACTTTTAAAGTGCTAAAAAGAAATTGTTTTTCTACTGAGTAGCTGCATGGGTCCTTTTCCTTGGAGGTGCATATCGAACCGAGGCTCTTACTACTTTTCTATTCTTTACTTTAGCTGCCCTCTTTTGTGACTTTTCTTGAGCATCAATTTGTTGCAAATCTTCCACCATATTCTGGATTGGGATATTTCAGTTGGGATTTGCAAAAATGCTCCTGTTGACATGCTTTTCACAGTCATTGAAAAGCCTGGCACAATAAGTGAAGGAGCACTGAGTCATATTGTGCATCATTTGTCAGACTTAATCCAGGCGTTGGCATGAACTAAAACTCGGATGGTGAAGATGGTGGTGGTTGAACTTCATTTCTTGAACTCTTGTTGGATCTCCTAAGCACTAGCTTTACCTGTGTTAAAATGGATAATTGAATGAGCAAACTATAATCAGTTTGGATACATATTAAACGCAAGCCCATAATATTGCAAAACACACAACATTTATGTTACCCTTCAATTGTGGTCATTAATTTGATTAGACATTTCTTGAATTGTACGCTCGACATTATAAGCAATCGAATCCTAAAATAAATAAGCACGTGAAATTATCATTCTAAAAAAACAAATGAAAAGACTAAAATTAAAACTACTTAAAAGAACAAGAACCTCTAGTGGTGCATCAATCCTCTGATGGTATCGTACGTTGTGCGCTCCACAGACACTACAAGTCATGAGCGCAATTCCTCGTTTCTTCATTTTTTCCTTTGAGCCTGAACAGGTGATGATACTTCCTTCCCTTTGTCTTCTTCTCTTCTTCTACTCTCTCTCCCTTTTGGTTACAAACCAACCTGGTGGTTTGATTGGAGGGACATGTACTGGATGCTATAACTTTGACCAATTTATAGGATTAATAATATTCTCATAGCTTTCTCATATACGTGTGCTCTGAATAGTTAGATTTTAGTTGCACACAACCAAACGCCTTATTCAACGACGCCCAAATCCTGAAATTACAATTGTCTTTTTTGCATATGGCCCGTGCCCTCTCATTATCATTTGGCCTAAATAGAAAATTATGCCTAGTTGCAACCCCATAATTCCTGATAGCTTGCTTAAACTCCTCAATATTTTTTAACCCTTACCAACCTCTAATTGTGGGTATACTTTTCTCTTTTAGCATTATAAATGGGAAAGCGATAATTCTTTTCTTCGTTGGAAGAATTATCAGTAAGTAATTCCTCCTCATTGGCGATAATTCTTTTCTTCGTTGGAAGAATTATCAGCAAGTAATTCCTCCTCACTAGGACAATAGCCATCCGACAACCCCAATTCCTTCGTACTTGAGGCCTCGAATTCAAGTGTCGGGTCTGTATTAAATCCTACCACAATGTATTCATGTGCATTCGTGTCAAACTGAAAACTATCATCATTAACCTCATTATCTGAATCATTGAAGTGGCATTGAAGAGATATCAATTCCTCTTCGTCAAAGGTCGGGTCTGCATTGAAAAAAATATGTAAGGGTTTTCCAAACACTTGTACATATGCAGATATAAAATAGGCAAATAAAAGATAATGAATATGGTCCCAAAAAAGAAATTATTGTCCTAGATAAAAAAAAATTCAGATTCAATTAAAAATGATAAAAATGTGATTTCAAAGAAAAAAATAAAAAAGATGCAAATAAACAATGATACAACTACAAAGTTGTGGTCCCATACGAGAATATTCAGAATCCAATGAAAAGTTTAATAAATTTACAATGTGGTGTTCCCTCATCATCTATCACCAATCTTGTTTCTCCACAATCAAATTACATTACATACCCAGTTTGGTGGGTCTTCTTGTTTCAAAGATTCTTGTTTTGCTCAAGATTTAGTACACTGAGATTAGTGGAATTATTAACCTCATTATCTGAATCATTGAAGTGGCATTGAAGAGATATCAATTCCTCTTCGTCAAAGGTCGGGTCTGCATTGAAAAAAATATGTAAGGGTTTTCCAAACACTTGTACATATGCAGATATAAAATAAGCAAATAAAAGATAATGAATATGGTCCCAAAAAAGAAATTATTGTCCTAGATAAAAAAAAAATTCAGATTCAATTAAAAATGATAAAAATGTGATTTCAAAGAAAAAAATAAAAAAGATGCAAATAAACAATGATACAACTACAAAGTTGTAGTCCCATACGAGAATATTCAGAATCCAATGAAAAGTTTAATAAATTTACAATGTGGTGTTCCCTCATCATCTATCACCAATCTTGTTTCTCCACAATCAAATTACATTACATACCCAGTTTGGTGGGTCTTCTTGTTTCAAAGATTCTTGTTTTGCTCAAGATTTAGTACACTGAGATTAGTGGAATTTGATTTGGCTCTTGTGGATTCATATTTGGAAGAATATTGATGCAGATGAAGTGTAAACAAGGGTTCCTTCTTGTTTTGAAAGCAAAGGATTTTTTTTAAAATTTTTAATTTGAAATGAAAATGTGAGTTACAAAATTAAAGAAAGAATGGCTTGCCATGGGCTTTTCACACTTTTGGCCGATTTGGCATTATTGAAAGTGTGTCACGTGCCACGTTAGAATCCGTCTGCCACGTGTCATTTTGTTATTTGAGGATGAGGAAAATTAAATAGCAATGAATGGGTAATCGATCAAAAAGATGGATGAGGATCTAATTATGGTTTATTGTTTGATGAACGAGTAGTAACATCAAGTAAAGTTTGATGAGTATTCATTAAGTGTGTGTTTGAGCCACATTATTTTAGAAAAATATATTTTTGAATAGTAGATTGATGGAGAATATGTGGTTAAAAAATATTTTTTTTTTAAATTTACATATAATATTATTTTATTGAAAAATGTGTGATTAAAATAATGTCAAATATTTTCTCAAAATAACTGGCGCAAACACGGCCTAAAGTTACTCTCTCTACAGGGACGAAACTCTCGTACATCTATCCTCCTGTCTTCCACTGTGCCCGTGGCCCGAAATTCGGGATAAGTTGAAGGAGTTACTCCCTTTTTCCAGCATAGTTAGCGACGTCGGAACGAAGGAAGGTGGATCTGACATAAAATAGAAAATTAAACAAGATGAGTGCGGATCTGGTGGCAGCGAACACACATGGAAATTTGGACGAGCAGATTGCTCAGCTTATGCAGTGCAAACCCTTGTCGGAGCCCGAGGTTTTATTTCCTTCCATCCCTTTCAAGAGTTTTTATAGTTTCTCTTTCTTTTGGATCTGATAGATGTTATAGATTTAACGATACAAAGAAATGTTCGATTTAGTTGTCTTTTTATAGTTTTAGATAGTGGGTTGGTGTTTCTCGAGAGAGTCCAGATAAATTTGGTTGCGTTCGCTAAAGGTACTATTTTCTCGAATGATGCATTGCTTTTGAGATGATAAAAATTTTAGGCATTTGTGCATACCCTGCAAATGGGAAATAATATTTTCATGTGTTTTCGGGCAGTGTAGTAGGATTTATCATGCTTATTGGTCGATTTAGGAATTAGTATAAATGAGTTTGATTTGACAATGGAATACAGAACCCAGAGAACCTTAGAGAAAGGAAAAAGAAAGACGGAGATTGGTTTTGTGTGTGCGGGGTGGGGGGAGGAAGGGAGGGAAAAGAACGGTTTGGTTCTTTTTACGACCTGGACGTCGATAAATCTGCGAGTCTAATGCAGATTTTTAATTTGTTTCACGTGGTGTGGCATTCTGGAATTTATGCATATTGAGTGAAATTTATCTGGCCTGTTTATCCTTGTTATTTGCTTGAGACCATGCATTTATTGTATATGCAAAAAAAGCTACTGGGCAGAAGAAATCAGCTATTGCAAATAATAGTCCATAAAAGGTTAATCTTTTTATCACATAAAAGCACACCTTGGTTTAAATTTAGCCGCCACCGTGAAATTGTCTGCCTCAAAGCTGTTTTGTGCAAGAGAACCTTTAACTGTAAAGGGGACAACAATGCTTTAAGAATAGTTTCTACAGATCCAATAAATCTGGATGTGTTCTAATAAAAGAAGGTTATAGATAGACATCAAATATAGATGTATTTTTAGTGATATAATAACGCTGTTAGTCACTCAACAATATCTTTGTCTCATTTTAGTAACTGAACTTTTTCTATTCCAAGTTAAATCATGTTGGTGAGTTGTTTATGACTGGTTTAAATTATAAATAGATAGAAATGAGTGGTGGATAAGTTGGTAGTATTTGTGTGAGTCCCACGAAATGTGCAAATAAAAAGTGGTTATATCTATTTTAAACAGCGCTTACACAATGAACTTCGATTTTTGTTTCAATTTAAGCACTCTGTTTGCTGAATTAATTGAAATGATGACGTATCTTGGAAAATTGTTTGGTTCATTTTTTTAAACTTCTGACTAGGCAAAATATTATTTTGTTAGACAAATCCTTTCTTTTTTCTTTCCTCTTCTACATTTTTATTCTTGAAGTGAATTTGGAAAGCACGGCTTGTCCAACAATACAAGTTTCTTCCTAGTTAGAAAAAGTTAATGCACTAACGGAATTTCCAATCAACACCATCATTTTTGTTAATTCAGTGGGACATAGTGCCTTAACTGAAACAAAATGAAAGTTCAGTGACTAACTTGGAAATAAAAGTTCAGTGACCAAATTGAGTCAATATGTTGACTTACTAACATTGCTTTAACCCATTTTTAACTTTTATTGGCATTAGACAGAAGCTGCATTTATGCAAACGAACATGGTGATTTAGGAAGAGTTATTGAAGGACTACAAAGAAATTTGTATACATGAGGACTGGGTGTGGCCTGTTCACCGTCTCCATTAATTAGTTGTCCACAATCCATAATAATACAATATAGTTGGTTGCTCAACCAAGGTATCTTCTTATATATGAATTTGAGGGAATGGATCTATAAAATAGCTTATAATTCAAGCTTCGTGTTCTTTTATCATTTAGAGAAGGTATTGAATGCTCCACAGAATTATTAAGAATAACTTGCTTGGAAAATTGTGTATCTTTGTTTTGCACTGAAGGAAGCGATTTATCACAGTTATTGTTTCAATTTTCATGCATGAAATTTCATGAACTGAACTATATTATGGCTTTACTAAGGTAGATATTTCCATCCTGTTTTGAAAATCGTTGAAATTCCTTTTTTGTGTGGTTGCAATTTCATTAACCCCGTATTTTCCTTTCCTATGCACTCGTGTTCACGTGCTTAGCCTTTGATGGAGAAGGAATAACGTTGACATTGTCCTTAATTATACAAATAAGGAATCATGTAGATTGGTCTGGCCTTCTTTTTTTTGCTTTATTTATATTGTTTATTGAAACTAAAAGTCGCAATTGTAGAATCGATCATATTTGTCTTTTGTGGATGCAGGTTAGGACTCTATGTGAGAAGGCTAAGGAGACACTAATGGAGGAAAGTAATGTACAGGTATGCACTTCTATTTCTTTGTTTCATAATATATTTTTGGTTGCATATTAAAATGTGCAAACTAGATTATATGCTAGTTACTTTTTTTGAGTGTTAAACATACATTATAAACAAGAATACACCAAAACCTCACAGTGCCTAGCTATCCTTAGCTTTCTGGAAGTTACTAGAAAATTTGACACTTTGAGTTCCATCATAATGTCTCTTCGTAAATTTGTTGTGTGCATTCCCACATTACTACAGGTGATGATTATCATGGAGGAAAATGATTTGGGCCCATTGAAATGTGACACATGCTCACTCTGGGTTCAGTTGGATGTAAAATTTTAGATCATAACTATCTTTCAGCAAAAGAGATTTAGGAAATAAAATGGACTGGAAAGAAAATCAAATCTGCTGCACTCTTTTGCATGACATGGTTATTGAAGGAAAATGATTTTGCTCTTTTACTCTTTCTACTGCCTCCTAAATTTTGAATGAGTCAGTGCAAATGTAGAAACCAGATAAGTCTAAGTTGTGTTTTTGATTGCTTGTTTATATATTGGATTTCAGTCTTTGCTGCTTTGCTTCTTCCACAGTTGTTAGGGAAGAAACTTGTCACTTGCAAGATACAGTAGATTTTGTACAGGCACCTGGATCTGAATTATATTAAACAGAAATTATTAAAATTAGCAGTGATCAATGCCATACACGTGCTCATCCGAAATTTGTTACTTATCACGTATACTTCTTGAAATATTGTGGCTATATGAATATTAAATTACTAAGGGAATCATTGAATATTGCACATAATTACAAAGCACATTTTATGACTTATGGTAAAATAGTCTAATATTTCACGATTATGCATTCAATTGTCATTTAGCCCTGTTTGGTGGGGGATTAAAATCTGATATTTAATAGATTTTCATAAAAGTTGAAGAAATGTGTAGTTGAAAAGTTGTGGTTCTCATGAAATATGTGGTTAAAATTAATTGTTGACTTTGACTAATATTAAAATCTAGATATTAATCCCTACCAAACATGGGCTTAGTAATTTGTTGTTTATCTGTAGTGCATATGGAACGTGCATAATATGATGTGCTTAATTGATTTCTGTGCTCCTGGAGTGCAGCCTGTCAAAAGCCCCGTGACAATTTGTGGGGATATACACGGGCAATTTCACGATCTTGCTGAACTTTTCCGCATTGGAGGGAAGGTATCTTTTGTAGCCTATGACATTTCATTTTTCATTGTCCTGAGCTAGGGGGAAGTGAATCTTTGAGACCGATCAAAAGGATGTGTTGAGGAAGAAGGTTGTGATACGATAACAGTTTGAAGCGTGACAAGCAATATATGCTGTCATTGTTTCACGTATTCTTTTAAATGTAAACTAGTTTTTTGTTGTCCTCGTTCAAGTCTTGCACAGAAATAAAAAGATTTGCTGCTAGGTATACCTCACTTTCCTCTTTTATAATTCTATTTATGTTTTGAAATTGGGTTTTTAACACATAAGAATGACTCCTTCCTCATTGGTGTTTTTGCTATTTGCAATTTCTCTTTAGATAGGCAGCAACCCTTACATACAGTCATAATTAAATGAACTGAAATCCTATTAAAACTGTTTGGATCAGACAATCATAAATTTAACCACTTAAAAGTTTTTTTTATTGTTGACTACACAGAATTTCGTGTATTCCACTTTTAACACTAATTTGTATTTATGAAACTCATGTTACCACGTAAAGAAAATAGTAGAAAGAGGTTTACATCGTGTCATGTTGAAATATCTTAAAGCTTGATTTTCAATCAATCCAACATCTGGATTTATACTTGCACCCGTCAATGACTAGATGTTCTTAGTTTTATAAGTAGAGTTAGGAATCATAGGATTGAATAATTTTGGTTAATGGTAGCAAGTTTGAAGTTGCTTTGACCTGAACTCCATTACTTTCAAGTTGTTTCTCTGGTAATTCTTCTCCCAGTTTGTCTTCAGCCCTCTAGGACCCTTCCAGTACCTGCGAATTTATTAGATATAAATACAGAAGCAGGGCCTTATCCTTGAATATGACGCAGAAATAAGAACTCAGTAAGACGGAACCTATATGTATGTTTTATCTGTTAATTGTTGTAGTTCTGGTTCCTTTTTGTAAGCCAATATACTAATGGTTATTGGAATATTTTTACTGCTGAGTTCATAGAGCATGTCTTCTTTTAGATTATCTAATTTATTGAAGTGTTAACTCTTTTGAGTTCATTGTCTTCACATTTAGCTGTTACTTTTAGTGAATTTATGTTTAGATGTGTCTATATGGAAGACCTGCACCTTCAGCATTCTAATGCAGTTCAATTGTCTTATTGACAGTGTCCAGATACAAATTATCTATTTATGGGAGACTATGTAGATCGTGGGTATTATTCAGTTGAAACTGTCACTGTAAGTAGAAGCTAAACAATAAATGTATGTTGCACTGCCACAAATTTGCTTTTATAAGTCAGGTTACAATAATTATTCAGCTATTTTCTTTATTTTCACTCTTTTTCTTTTTTTATTTTCTTTATCATCTCTCAGATATATTTGATTTTATTAGAGCCTGTGTAGTTTGCATTTTAGTAATGAATTCATATGTGACATAGTGGAAGACACTAATATGCTTACTTTATGCAGCTTCTAGTGGCTTTGAAAGTGCGCTATCCTCAACGGATTACTATTCTTAGGGGAAATCATGAAAGTAGACAGGTATTCATTTACTTCTTATGCCACTTTTGATGTCAGTGAAAAACTTTTGTGGGGGAATGGTTATAATTTTTCATTTTGATACCATGGTGATGAAATGAAGAATGATGATTGTCACGACCATAGTCATCAAAACTGTGATCTACAATCCTAAAGAGGCAAAACACTTCCAATCGTGCATAGAATCGCAATTGGATAGGATCGCTACAATATCGTGTAGAATATTACAAAAATCGTATAGGATATCTACAAGAAATATTATTAGTGCAATATCTGAAAAATGAATGTTTTAGTGTTTGTTTTGATGATATTTCTTCTGATTTGAATTAATAACATAAAAAGAGGATACAGTTCATTCACAGCCAAGCAAATGGTTGGACTTTCTTGATAGATTTGCATGAAGAGAAGGTCAGAAAGACCTTTGTATGAGATTTTAATAACATGCCTGAATTGTTATTTTGACTACAAAATCTTGTTGTAGATCTTTTTAAGGTAGATTTAAACTTTGATTATTTGACTCTAGTTAGTTATTGACTTATAATTGTTAATTTCTTCTTAGAATTTTTATTTGATCTTTTTTCAATGTTTTAAATCATAAATGACTAGGATCTTATGATCTTCGATCTGCTCAATAAGACCTCTCTACTGATCCGAACCAAATTTACGAACCTGTTCACAACTAATTGCTAAAAAACTATTTTGATTGAAATTAGTTGCTTCTACAGCTTATCTATTAATGTCTGATATTATCATTATGTGATAGCTGCATGGTTCCCATTCTCTCGTTGATTCTGAGGTGTAACTCCACATTTTTATGGGGTTATGTCACCTGCAGTTATGATACAACACATGTTGAAGTTCTTGAATTTTTTTGAGCAAGCAACTAGTTAAACTAGTTTAAGCCTTTTTTTTTGTTAAATCAGATTTGAGCTTGCCTTGTGTGTTGTTTGGTAAATGACAACCAGGTCAATTTTCATAAAAATTGAAATCAAAATTGAGGGGTTCATCAATCTTAAGCGGGGCTTAAATGTTTATTTTAGCATTAGTTAGCTGTTATTTGAAAGACTACACTTGGTATGGTGTTATTTGTTACATCATTAATGCATCGAATCTTATTGTGTTTGCCTCTGTTGTTTGGGATCCTTGGAACTGGTTGATTGAAGGAATTAATATTTGTATCATCTTCAAAAAAGTTGTTCAAGGGTTTATGTCTTGAGGCGCATCTCTTCAAGGTTTTGTGTCTTGATGCGCTCCTCACATGTCACTTTAATTAACCACCTTAAAGCTTACATTCTGCATGCCATTTCTCCATGGCTTATGTCCTGATTTACCAAGGCTCAAGCCTCGGGGCGGCTAAGGCAGACTCTTTCGTCTCGTCTTTTTAGGGCTTTTTGTTATTGGTCTCAGCCTTTTGGGTTTTTTTCTACGACCTAGTAAGTTGTATGGGTTTTCGTGTTTTCTTTGATTTTATCTTATTTTTTGTAAACTTGTTTTATTATGGATTTAATATGGTTTATGTTTTGTTAATGAGCGTTATTTATGTATTTTTATATTCTTTTGAATTACTTTATTAGCTTCTCTTGAGACTTGTGCCTCAAAACGCCTTGGGGCTTACACCTTACCTCAAATAGGTTAAATGCCTTGGTACCCGATTGAGCCTTTTAAACCTTGTTTTCACTTTGTCGACTGGGCATTTTTTTCTTTAATTCTTTTTCCTCTTTAGTTGAACGAATGGCATGAGTTCTATTTTGAATGCCAAAACTAAATATTAGTTCACTTTTCTGCTTTCAGATTACACAGGTCTATGGATTTTATGATGAATGCCTGCGGAAGTGAGTTCTTGATGTCCTCTCTGATTTCTGATTTAAACTAGATCTATATTTTACCATTGTACTACTGAAATTTTCTTTTGAATTTAAGTGCATTGTATATCCCCTCTTTCTTCTGATAATTTACAGAGGACAAATTAAATTGGGTGTTATGTGTTTCATAACCACTAAAATACAATCTATTAAGTTCATCAGATGATGGTTATTGTTAATCTTCCTTTCATGTTTCCTGTACGGCAAACTGAAAATATTATTCATAAAAAGAAGCAAGACCTCTACATTATACTCGTGTTTTTAACTGAACATTAGTTGTAGGGGGAAGATATAGCAGATAACCCGTGGCTAAAATGTTATTTCATCTTAATGGCTTATCAGTCTGAACAAGACCTGGGATGTTAAAATCCAAGTCACAAATTTGACTTTGAATTTTATCTTAATTACCATTCCCTGTTGGGATGCTGCATGGTCTTTTAGATACTATATAGTCTAAGAGTTCTTTACATAAAGCTGTTCCTGCCTTTTCCTCGGCATTTTGCCATTAATTAATTGAAAATTGCTGTTTGATGTATAGGTATGGAAATGCTAATGTTTGGAAGACTTTCACAGACTTATTTGACTACTTCCCTTTGACCGCATTGGTTAGTAAAATCTTCTAGTAACTGGCATTTAATGTGTTGATGTATTTTGTTTTCAAATAAATTAATTTTTCTTATTCATAATGTCTGTGAAAAGTTAATTGCTGATTATTACCATCTACTTTCCTTTAAAGGACATCAAATGCAAATTGCAGTGTTGGTTGACTGAAGTCAAAAAGTGTAGATGTTTGTAAATCATGCTTTTTGAAAGGCTAAATTGCTACTGCTATCCCCTACCTATACCACCTTTTGCACTTCTATCTCCATCCTTTATTTCTTGGCATTCTTACCCTCAACCCTTCATAAATTAGCAGTCCTGATTTTTATCCAAAATGACTGTTAAGCGTGAAAAGACAAAATTACCCTTTTAACTCAAATAAAAAACCAATAAATAGAAAGAGAATAAATTGAAAAAATAAAACTTCATTTCCTTTGCCCTTCCCTTTATTCTCCCCATCACAATCACACACAATCCATCAGTTCTCTAATGCCACCCCAAGTCCTAAACTATCACCACATGGCTTTGCGTCCATTGCTGGAGGCGAACTACCTTTTAACAGATCTGGAGAACACAACAATAAAATGCTTATCTTTGATAATAGCCAAAACCATCATCCCTAGGTTCCAGGATTGCGTGGTCTAAAGTTATGAAGGCTATGCATGCATGCAGGGACATGCGAAAGGGTGGGCATGCATGAGATTGATGCATGCATCTACGTGGAGATTCATGCAACTACGTGGAGAATGTGTTCGAAGCCGAAGCAACACATGCATGCATGTGGGAATCCAAGACCCAGTCCAAGGCAATCTGGTCCACTAGGAAATTCAACGTTATATTCATTTTTTAGTTAGAATAAGGTTGTTTGAGTTGTTATTTTATAGCTATTAGTTTTAATTCTGTTGTAACATGGGCCTTGAGATGAGGCAGTTTGTTGCCACTCACCTAGGTTATTTAAACTCGAATTTGGCTGAAATAAAGATCATGAGGAAAACTCATTCAAACTTGTGGTCCAATTCTCACCGAGAGAATTACTGTTCACTGTTACTTGCCGTTTTTGATTGGGACCACTATCAAGTGATATCAGAGTGGAGTTAATGGCCACCAACAAGGAGCGGATTGAAAGCCTAGAGGCGGGTCTTAGTGGTCTTCAGGAAGGCATGAATTGCATGGAGCTAGGAATTGTAGACAAGCTCCATCATTTGGAGGAGATGCTTCGTTCATTTAAGACTCATCCAATACCTCCCGCAATAGTGAGCGAGGAGAGAATTTTTGAAATCACTGTGACGACAATACTGAAGGCACTAATGGTGGACGGCTGGTGTGTTCCGCAAAAATTACTTGCCATTTTTGATTGGGACCACTATCAAGTGATATCAGAGTGGAGTTAATGGCCACCAACAAGGAGCGGATTGAAAGCCTAGAGGCGGGTCTCAGTGGTCTTCAGGAAGGCATGAATTGCATGGAGCTAGGAATTGTAGACAGGCTCCATCATTTGGAGGAGATGCTTCGTTCATTTAAGACTCATCCAATACCTCCCGCAATAGAGCGAGGAGAGAATTTTTGAAATCACTGTGACGACAATACTGAAGGCACTAATGGTGGACGGCTGGTGTGTTCCGCAAAAATCGCAAAATTGGAGTTTCCCCAATTTAGTAGGGAAGACCCTATGGAGTGCTTCAATCGTGTGAACCACTTCTTTGAATTTCAAACTATACCGAAAACTTAGAAGGTGTCGTTGCATCTTTTCACTTGGAAGGCGAGGCCAGTTAATGGTAGCAGTGGCTTCGGAGGACATATTGATATGAAGGGCAGGCATTAACGTGGGAGACCTTCGAAGATGAGCTATGGGCACGTTTTGGAGCATCGGAGTGTGATGATTTCGACGAGGCTCTTTCTTGGGTAAGACAAGTCAGCTCTCTAAGGGACTATCAACGTAAATTTGAAAGGTTAGGCAATTGAGTTCGTGGATGGACTCAAAAGGCACTCGTAGGAACATTCATGGGAGGATTGAAGGATGAGATTGCTGATGGCATCTGGATGTTTAAGCTTTAGACACTTAAAGATGCAATCAACTTGGCTAGGATGAGGGATGACCAACTCTCACACCAATAGAGGTTCATGCTGCCACCACCACCATCACAAGCCCCACAAGCTCTTTCTCCACTAGCTGGGGCGACTCCATTGGCAGCACCCGCAATTGCCCTACATCGTTTGACTTAGGACGAAATGCAGAGAAGGTGCGCGTAGGGCCCATGTTTTCATTGCAACTAGTGTTTCGCCACTAGCCATTATTGCAAGGGCAAGACTCCTTTTACTCGATGGTCATACTATTGATGACCATGTTGAGAATGTTATGGACGAGCAAGTGGCTAATGAGGATAATGATAGTCAGCTTGAGCCCGAAATCACGCTGCATGCGCTAACCGGGTGGACATCGCCCAAAACCACGAGGTTAGCGGCGAAAATTGGACCCCAAGAAGTTAATGTGTTGATTGATAGTGGGTCAATCCACAACTTTATTAACCATCTCATTACAGACCTGCTCTGTGTACTGGTAATCCCAACTGCTCCAATGAATGTACGTGTGGCTAATGGTAAGGATCTGCTGTGTCTAAGGCATATTTGAAAACATGCCCTGGATTTGCAAAGTGTTCCCTTCATGCTCACGTTCTATGCGATTCCGAGTGTTGGTCTTGATGTCGTGCTTGGGGTACAGTGGCTTGAAATGCTCGATTCGGTTGTGTGCAATTGGAAAACTTCGACAATGAAATTCCAATGGGAAAAAACGAAGCCCGGAGGTTGCAAGGCATTTATCAATCGTCTATACGAGTTGTTTTCCTCAAAGAAATAACTCTAGAAGTGCATCAAGGACATCCATTGTTTGCTATTTGTTTATAATCAATGACTTATGGAGATGAAAATCGAATGCGACTCGACATGTTGAAACTCTTGGAGCAATACGCTGAATTCTTTTAAGAACCCACCAAATTACCACTAGCGAGAGAAGTGGACCACTGTATTCAACTCAAGGAAGGTACTGAATCGGTGAATGTTCAACCATATCCTTATGCTTATTTCCGAAACGGAGAGATCGAGAGTTTTTTTTTTTTTTTTTTTTTGGGGATCCTTGATTCAAGTCTTGCTCCCGTTGCGCTTAATGCCTTGACCATCAAGGATCGCTTCCTAATTCCAACGGTGGAGGACATGCTTGATGAATTACACGAGGTCGCTTATTTTACGAAGCTTGATCTTAGATCGGGATACCACCAGGTAAGGGTTCACCCTTAAGATGTCCTTAAACAGCTTCTCAAATCCATAATGGCCATTACGAGTATTTGGTAATGCCCTTTGGCTTATGCAATGCTCCATTAACTTTCCAAGCCATTATGAATTCGATTTTTCGCCCATATCTTCGAAAACATATTTTGGTATTTTTCAACAATATACTTATTTATAGTCCATTAGGGGAAGCACATTTGATTCACATGGGAAAGGCCTTAGAAATCCTAAGTCAACAACAATTTTATAGTAAAGCTTCAAAATGTGCCATTGGGCAGCAGGAGCTCGAGTACCTGGGGCATGTTGTGACCCACCAAGGGGTAAAGGTGGACAATTCCAAAATTTCAGCCATGTTAGCTTGGCCACGATGTATAAATATTTCGGAGTTGCATGGTTTTCTTGGATTAACAGAATATTACGAGAAGTTCGTAAGGAATTACGGGATCCTAGCTTGCTCTCTTACAAATCTCTTAAAAGAGGGACAATTTGGATGGAGAGAAGAAGTGGAAGCCGCTTTTATTGCACTTAAAGAAGCCATGACATCCATTCCTACATTAGCCATGCCTAATTTCAACGAGTCATTTATCGTTGAAACCGATGCCTCTAGAGATAGGATAGGAGGGTACTAACCTAGCAAGGACGACCCATCGCTTACATGAGTCGAGCCTTGGGGGTGACAAAACGATCTTGGTCCATCTATGCTAAGGAGATGCTGGCCGTTGTCGAAGCTATACGTACTTGGCAGCCCTACTTTTTGGGGAAAAATGTTCATTCATATGGATCAACGTAACCTCAAATATTTCTTGGAGCAATGTGTTGCTACCCAAGAACAACAAAAGTGGGTGGCGACATTGCTTGACTACGAGTATGAGATTATATACAATCCAGGTCGTGAAAATTCCGTGGCAGATGCACTATCTCAAAGGCTTGATAGTCCTATACTTCATACTATATTTGTGCCACAAGTTCAATTATGGGAAGATATAAAAAAGGCCAAGCAAGTGGGCCTTGTTGCTAAGGAAAATCCAGGAGGCCCATACCAATGGAGAAATGGATTATTATTCTTCAAAAATGGGATTGTGGTGCCTCGGTTCATGACATTTGGAATAGCCTACTAGAAGAGTTTCATGCTAGCAGGACCACAGGCCACTCAAAGATTCTTAGAACATGCAGGAGGTTAGCCCAGCAGTTTTATTGGTCCACTATGTATAAGGATATTCAAGCCTTCGTTGTTGCATGTGAGACGTGCCAAAGAACCAAGTCACAAACATTAACTTTAGCAAGCCTTATCTAGCCTCTATCGATTCCATGTTAGGTTTGGGATGACATTACGCTTGATTTTATTGAAGGTTACTAACTTCTGGGAAGGATCCAGTACCAGTGGTGGTAGATAGGTTGAGTAAGTATGCCCACTTTGTGGCTCTTACCCATTCTTTTACCGCCAAGGTGGTGGCAGAAAAAGCGTGGTCAAGTTACATGGAATGCCTAGATCGATTATTAGTGACCGTGACCCCATTTTTATAGTAAGTTCTATTAGGAATTCTTCTCTCTGTCCGAAACTAAGCTCAAACTAAGTTATGCTTATCATCCACAAACGGATGGTCAGTTTGAGGTGGTTAACCGGTGTTTGGAGCAATACTTGGTGTAGCTTTGTTCATCAGGGCCCAAAAAGGTGGGTAGAATTCTTACCATGGGCCGAATATTGGTATAATATCTAACTCTACAGGGATGTTACCGTTTCAAGCTCTCTACGGTCGCCTACCACCCATGATCCCAATTTATCAGAAAGGAGTCACTTGTTAATGAGGTGGATGAGAGTCTTCTTGCTCGAGATGAGCTGCTGCATTAACTTAAGGATAACCTCGGGGTGGCTATCAATCAAATGAAACGGGCTGCTTACTTGAAAAGGCGAGATGTAGAGTTCCAGGAGGGTGACATGGTATTGTGGCGGCTCCAGCCCTACTGCCAGAGCACCACATTCAAACGAGCACTCCGAAAGCTATCTAGTCGATTTTTTAGGCTTTCTCCCGTTGCCCAACGCATCGGCAAAGTGGCATATTAGCTATAACTTCCAGAGAATTCACGCATACATCCCGTATTCTATGTGTCCTTGTTGAAGAACTATGTGGGAGATCCTAGTCAAGCGAGTTTGGATTTACCTCCAGTTTCTAGTGAAGGAACACTCGTACTCGAACCTAGATGTATTATTGAATCTCGTGGGATCAAAGTTGGTAACAAGTTTGTTGAGGAAAGCTTGGTACATTGGAAATGTTTGCCCACAGAAGAAGCCACCTGGGAACGGATGGAGTTACTGAATGAGCAATTTCCTACGGTAGATCTTGGCGACAAGGATCTTCTTGATCGGGCGGGAATTGATGGACCATGAAGGTCTAGCAGAGTCCCTAGGAAGAATCCTAGGTTCTAGAATTGCATGGTCTAAAGTGATGGAGGCTGTGCATGCATGCAACAACGTGGAGAATGAGTCCAAAGTGGAAGCAATACATGCATGCACATGGGAATCCAGGACCCAGTCCAAAGTAATCTGGTCCACTAGGAAATGCAACATTATATTTATTTTTTAGTTAGAATAAGGTTGTTTGAGTTGTTATTTTATAGCTGTTAGTTTTAATTTTGTTGTAACATGGGCCTTGAGGTTAGGCAGTCCGTTGCCATTCACCCTGGTTATTTAAACTCGAATTTGGCTGAAATAAAGATCGTCAAGAAAACTCATTCAAACTTGTGGTCCAATTCTCACCCTGAGAGAATTACCCTTCACTCTTAATTGCCCTTTTTGATCGGGACCACTATCACCTATCTGTACATTAAAATTTTGGAAGTTCACGAATCAGTAGTTAGCATTTTTAATTTTCCTTCTCAATTCCATTTCATTTTCTTGTTTGATTTTGTTTAGAATTTTTTTTCTGGAGTTGAAGCTTTCTTTGATTTTTTTTTTTGGGGGAGTTAATTCAAAGATAGAGCTTTGTTGAAACATCCATTATGGCATCCATTGTGGCGGTGGGTGGTGCTTGGGGTATGGTTGGTGGCAGGGTGCTGCTAGGGGTGGGGGTTGTCGCTGGAGAAGATGACATATTTATTTCTTTTTTTATTTTTTATTTTTACTTTTATTAGTTTCCTTCATTTTTATCTTTTCTTTCTATAGCATTTATTTGAAGTTCAGGGTATGTCTGTCTTTCTAAGCTTGCCTAACGGCGATTTTGGCAGGAAACTGTCAAAGGCGATGGAGGCTGCTAATATGTGAAAGGTTTAGTGTAAGAATACCAAAGAAATAAAGGTTGGGAGTAGAAGTGTAAAAGAGGGTATAGATTGGGGATGAAAGCTGCAATTTGTTTAGCCTTTAATAAATAAAAATAAAGAGGCGAAGAAGAATATTTGGAGTAATGAGTGAGTAAAGAGCCTAACAAATTTCGGACATGCTTATGATTCCCCTAGTCAACATTTTCTAATGGTTGTAAATGCCTTGTAAATTTGAAATATGTCAATGCTTGAACCATTGGGAAATGCATTCTGTTTTATGCAAACAAAAGTTTTAGTACGGTCTTTCTGTAAAGGTTTCTCAACATTTTGTATAAGAGTATATCGCAAAAGAACCATGAGTTGGAACTCGTGTTAATTTCAACTTCAGATTGTGATTGTAAATTTGTAACACAAGAATGGAGAAATATGCTTTCTGTTTAAGTTCATTTTATAATAAGTTTTTTTTTGCTTGCAACTAGATTCTGACGCAGTGTTCTGATCAATAGGTTGAATCAGAAATATTTTGTCTGCATGGTGGGCTGTCCCCCTCTATAGAAACCCTTGATAATATAAGAAACTTTGACCGTGTTCAAGAAGTTCCACATGAAGGTCCCATGTGTGATCTTTTATGGTCTGACCCTGATGATCGATGTGGTTGGGGTATCTCCCCCCGTGGTGCAGGATACACATTTGGCCAGGTACATTCATCTATTTATTGGAGGTTTTCCCCCTTTTTCCCCCTCCCATCTCCTTTAATCTAATCAGTACCATGGACTGTACTTATTCCAGGACATATCAGAGCAATTCAATCATACCAACAACTTAAACCTAATTGCCAGAGCTCATCAGTTGGTTATGGAGGGTTACAACTGGTCCCATGTAAATTTTTTCTTGCAACATTATTCAACTTGTTTATCACTTGTGCTATTAGTTGAAGTGGGTTTTCATGTTCGAATTTGACATCTATCTCAGGAACAAAAGGTTGTCACTATTTTCAGCGCACCAAATTATTGTTATCGTTGTGGGAATATGGCATCCATTCTGGAAGTTGATGATAATAGAGAGCATACATTTATCCAGGTTCCGTTCTCTCCCTCCCTCCTTCCGTATGTGTGACAACCCTATTTTGACATTTAGTTATCCTTCAGAATCAGAGACAATGAATTATCAGTTCTCAAGTGATATTTTCTCTGTATTTTGGTGCAACGCGGGTTAGTTAACGACATGGCTTGTGATTTGACTGTTGCAGTTTGAGCCGGCTCCAAGGAGAGGAGAACCTGATGTAACTCGAAGAACACCTGATTATTTCTTGTAGATCAATCGACAGTAACTGGCTCATGGTTTGATGCAATGGTCGAATTCGAGTGTTCATTTGTCATTTTTGATGTGATACGAAGGTGAAGAAGCATTGAAAGTTTGGAAGTGGTTGAGGTTCCCTTCCAACAATCAATGTTATATTCTAACCAATGCAAGGGTGCTTGGGAGCGGAAAGTGGGTTGGTCGAATCTTTGAATGTATTGTTTCATATAATGTTTTGATGTTCTTGTTGTTTCCCTTTCTTTTGATAAACATATCTGTAAGTTAGTTCTCTATTTTTCTCGTCACTGCGAACTATTGATTTGGTCTGCAGAAGTAATGGAGAATTCTATTAAGTTGCTTGATCATGATTTTTTCTCCTCTCAAAATTTACCAATCAAGATTGAGTTGCTTTAGATCTTCTCGTGTAACTATAGCTCATTAGAACAGAGTGAATTTTGTATTTCTGTGGCTATCAGGTCGGGACTGCGAGCCTACAGAGCTGCTAAATTCACTTCTCCTGATGAATTTAAATCTGGCCCATCTCAGTCGTTCCGAGCCACACATTCTCGAGGCAAAAAAAAATCTCGTATTCGCATGTTGTAGCAAAATAATTCCTTACGACAGGCATGGACTAGGAAAATTCCAGGTAAATTGTCAAGTTCTTAGACAGTGCTTGAGGTCAAGATACGTTAGTTTCTAATGTCTGTTTTTGCGGAGGCGATCACGGCTTTAAACAATCCACACGACGGTCATGGACTTGGAAATTTCCAGGTATTGTCAAGTTCTTGGACAACCCGGGACTAACCCACTTCGAGGTCAAGATCCGTTAATTTCTAATGTCTGGTTCTGTGGAGGCAATTATGGCTTTAATTCATGAACCATCTCAATGTACAATTATGCTATATGTACATTCTTTTTGACATCATGTTTGACATTGTGTTCGGTGATAATACATGATTGGACGGTTTTGTTTTTTTGTTTTTTTTTTAAATACACATTCCCGTCTTAACACCTTTTGAACTCCAATGGAATGTACACTTAGCATTATTCTTCAATGTGGATTGTTTAAATTGAGTTAGAATCAAAGAGTGAGACCGTCTATTATGTTGTCAACACTGTGGAACTCACTTCGCGGCCCATGTGAATCAGGAGCCACCGATTTCTCGGCCAACTCTTCCAAGAATTTTGGGAATCAATCTATATTAAAGGCCACACCGTACCTCTAGAATTCGTGGATGGTTAAACATAATCTATACGTCTATTCTTGACTTTTCTATTTGTCTTTGGGAAATGACATGCTTGTTACTCGGAATATGCCAATGGTAGATTGGTAAACTATTATTATTATGATTATTAGTATTATTATTATTTTAATTGTATTAGTCTATTAAAGCATCTGATTTTCTAAAATAAAGAGAGGACAAACTAGCACCGTGTGCATGCAATTGGCACTAACCCATTTAAAGAATCTAGAGTCTTGTAAAGATTAAGAATAGCCCTGTGCCGCCCTATGTATTTTAAGTGCCAACCAATAAAGATTAAGAATGAGGCATTACAACAACTTTATGTTGGCATTATTAAATGAAATGTACAATTAAATTAATCGCATAATTTCATATTTAATTGAACCTATTACATAGTGTCAAATAAACTGATGTTTTAATACCATTAGTGCTATATAGCATTATTTTTTAAAAAAATCCAGACTGAGCATTTTCGCGATAGCGCCATAATTAACTAATGGAATTTCCTCAAATTGAGAGAAGTCAGAATTNATATTTTATTTGAAGTGGGCCCCCCTCCATGTGAGGAAGTGGACGCCGATATAGATACATAGCATATTCCTTGTTAAAAACCCTCTTCTCATTAGGATTTTGATGTTTGTACACAGCTCGGTGTACCGCCCCCATGTTCTCGTTGACTTCTTTCTTTTTCAGAATCTCCTAATTGTTAAAATGGTGATGCTACAAGTACATCAAGATATTCATATCAATGTCCACCCTTTTTATATAGATGGGGGATCCACTTCGAATAAATTATATTTTATTTGAAGTGAGTCCTCCTCCATGTGAGTAAGTGAACGTCGATATAGACAATGCATTATACGTAACATATTCCTTGTTAAAAATCCCTTCTCATTAGGATTTTGATGTTTGTACACGGCTCGGTGTACCGTCCCCTTATTAGAGAGGGGGTCCGCATCCAATAAAAAAATCTTGGGCCTCCTCTTGCACTGGCAGACCGAATCTTGGTGGGTCACTTGACCCACTAACTTTAAATAGATATAATATATATTTTTTTTATTTTTTTTTTGGTTTCCTCAAAAATCATATTTGAATATTTAGGAAATTATTTCTTTTGTATTTTCTTACGAAATGGAATTGAGGATTCCCTCAAGTCCTCCAAATTCTATCTTGTTTTAGCAATTTTATGGTAATGGATTCGTGCTGTGATTTTTGTTTTTATTTGAATTGGAATGGAGTTGATAATGTAATATTCAGAATTTGCTATGTTTTTTGTATTTTTCATTTGAATTGATTGTTTTCATTAATCGTGATGGAAAAATAATTTAAACATAAATATGCTTTTTCTTTTGACGATCACAATGTTAATGAAAATATTATTCGAAATAAAAGTGATGAAAATGATGTTGGAGATAAAAAAAGGTAAATTTCACAATGCAGATAAGATAAATAGTGTTAAGACATATATACTTGGCATGTTTTATTTATTGAAATCAAACAGATTTAAATACAAAATTCAAAATTTTAATACATTTTGACATAAGCTAATGAAATGCGTGTTACAAAATCATAAATTTCATGAAATGTTTGTTTATTATTGTGTTTAGTGCACTGTGCAAGAAACTGATAGTATATTCATATGATTAATCTGTTTTCGAAATTTTACATAACAAACCTTCGATGCATACTTGATGTATAGTTTCCGATAGGACTGGCAATTTTAAATAAGAACAAAAACTACAATTTTTCTATATAGTATTTTCGGTGTGGTTTACATCATATGAAAAAATAAAATGTTCGAAAATAATTAGTTGCAGTAACTTGCATAATAGTAAAATGCAAAAATAAAATTTATTGATTAATCGAGTCTCGTAACAATACGATGTCCTAAAGTGAAATTGTGAGTCGATAATTGCTATGACTTCCATTGATAATCACTCCTAGGATACAAACATCACAAACCACTTGTGTAGTAATCACGAATGATTTCTCAAAACTCTCAAGTGTAATCCTGAATATATATGTAAAACTCAAGTATAAAATTTTAGCATATGAAAAGTTGTAATTCGTTTTTGATATGTTTTTCTGAAAACCAAACGGGTGTATATATAGGCAGAATGAATTTAAATGCCTCCACCATGATCCATAAATATTTGCAACATTTATTGGCTAGTAGGTAATGGGTTGTTGATAGTGAGTTGTTAAAAAATGATCATTTTATACCAGCTAGTTTGACCAATTAAATAATTTAAAAAATCATTAAAATAAAATTATTTTAATAAAGGACGCCCGATGCCCTAATCAAAGGCTTTTACATTATTGTGTGGGATGTGACTCGAACACTCCCGACCTCCCACACAAATGTCACAATTTTCACCACTCGAACACTTCATCTGAATTAGTTATTTCTTTCACATATTATATTTATTGTATAAATATCTAACATAAACTTCCATTTATTAAGCTTTTGAATGATCAAAAGCTGTTACTAATGGTGTTTTAAATTAAACATCTCCAATGAAGAGATGCAAGGGAAATGTAAAGTACTTTTTTTTGGTAAATATATATATATATCAACATATTTATTTAGATCTACCCCTGGGACTTGAGAGCAACAAAAAGCTTTCAACCCACTTATATAAGATTTTTTAGACCTCTCCATTGAAGCAGAATTTGGATTCAAAATCCATCGAAACGTAAATTGGAATGTAAAAGTGTTTTTGGAGATGTCAATTTACATCAATTTTACATCACCATTAAAGATGCTTTAAGAAATGTTTTTAACCAAATTAAATAATTATACTCAAAGATCATTTAAACGAAGCTAGTTTAAGATAATTTTTTCATGAAATTCTTTTACAATAAGTAAAAGCAAAAATAAAAGTAGAAGTTCGATGAACGAGACCTAGATATCCAAAGGGATTGGGTCAAAAAAGAGATATAAGGAGTAGACTTTGTATCGTAGTACATAGAATCATTTCCAAATTCGAATTGGAAAAACTCAAAAAAGCCAAAATGGGTTACACCATACTCTCATTTCCTCTCCCTTTGTCCGTAGTCTCTCTCTTTATATTTTGTTTCTCCATCCCTGGAATCTCAGCCGTTCGATACCCGATCAACGTATGGCCGAAGCCCACGACCTTTCTCTGGACCCACCCACAGGCAATCCTACTATCCCCAAACTTCACAATCTCAAATCCTTACCACCGTTACCTAACCACCGCCGCTAACCGTTATCTCCGTCAAGTCCTGACGGAGCACCACCAGCCCCTGTTCAAACCACCACTCAACTTGACGTCAGCACCACCACTTCAATTTTTGATCATTACCATCACTGACCTCACCTCGCCTTTAACTCACGGAGTCGATGAGTCCTACGCCCTCACAATCCCCTCCTCTGGGTCTACAGACGCCACTCTCTCCGCACATACTGCATGGGGTGCAATGCGCGGACTGGAAACTTTTTCTCAATTAGTGTATTCAAAACCGGCAATTGTCGCTTCCGGGTTGTACATTTCTGACGTACCACTTTTTATGCACCGCGGAATCGTACTGGACACGTCGAGAAATTATTACCCAGTGGAGGACTTGTTGAGGCTTGTAAAGGCGGTGAGTATGAATAAATTGAATGTGTTCCATTGGCATATAACGGATTCGCATTCATTTCCACTGGTGCTTCCATCGGAGCCGGAGCTGGCCGAAAAAGGAGCTTACGGCGAAGAAATGAAGTACACTGCGGATGATGTGAATCGGGTGGTGGAGTTTGGGATGGAATATGGGGTTCGAATTGTGCCTGAAATTGACATGCCCGGTGAGTAAACTTGTTGATTAACCACTTTTTCTATGATGGAAAATAAATGCGTTTGAATTTTTATTATTATAGTACATAAATGCACTTGTGTCCTATTAATGAGTTGAAGATGAAGAAATAGATATTTCGGGAAAACGGAGTTGAGGAATGGGATAAACAGGAATGATCTATCTACTAAGCAGTGCTCATCTTATGTTAAGCACGTCATCTAAATCTTATAACCAAAGGATTTATATGCACATGGTTAACATGAGACGAGCATAGGTGCTTAGTAGGTCATTTCTGATTATATAAATAACTTAGACAGTTCGACTGTGTTTGATTGTTACTATTTTTCACGAAAAATGTTATTTTTCCA